TAGGAAAATAGGGCATAGAACTTAATTTCCCTGCCCCTACAGCCGTGGCTCAACCAACGGTTGCCCTTTAACAAGTCTTTCAAGGCAACAATGACTCTTGCAAAAGAAGAAGAAGAAGATGCTCGGAAACATTTACCGTGAGCCAATATACTATAAATCAATCGGAATCAGATTTTAATATGCTGTTGAGGTGGAGATAGTCCATCATCAGAGGGGATTCAATACCAACATCCATTTGTAATGATAAAGGAAGAAGTGTGTATAAGCAGATATCCACATGTACACAATATAGGCATAGCTTCCTAAACATGAGATTATTATTATGGTTGATATATATATATATATATACATATATATAATAATGCAACTACATTACGATGTTAGAGATGGATGTACAGTTATGTAATCAACCTATATTATTGTTGATGAAACTGATCGCGTTGTTTCAGTTGTTGTTGTGGCTACGGGGCTACTATTATTATTATTATTATTACTATTGCCGATCATTTCATTGTAGTTGTAGTGGCGACTGTTGTTTTGTTGTTCTTGCTGCTGTGTTGAGACATGCGTTGGCAATGAGTATTTTATCAATACTTATTTAAGACTGGTATGTGATTGTTTGTTCTGATTTCATGGCGTTAAATACTCGCACTTTAAACATATATCGATAACATACAAAACTCAATATTGATTGAAACATCATATTAAGCAATAGATCAACGAAATGTTGTTAAAACTTATTTGTTTGCTCAAATTTCGTTATTACAGTTGTTCCTTGCAACTTAATATGGCATAGTTAGTCTTACCAAAAAGAATAACTTGTTGCTAGTGTTGCTATTATTGTTAATATTTTTGTCGATTTTATTGTTGTTTTTAACTCTATGCAAGATATTAAAATATAACTGAAAAATTATTATATTTATTTAAATTTTATTATTAATGAAGAGTGCAGAGTATATTCAGCTTCATTGTTGTCAGTATAAAATTTTGAACCGGCAAGCCTGTTCGTGTAAATATCTATGGCAAAAATTCTTCTTGAACAGATCTTCAGGTCACTTGTCAGACACACTGGAAATTTTGTGTGTGTGCGCGGAAAATGGGGCAAATCGAGTTGGGGACACACCTAGACTACGGCATAAACGAAAACATTCAATATACCTAAAATTTCCGAGTAAAATAATGAAAATATTTATCCGGTGTATATGCATACATGTGCGAAAATGGGGAAATCGGCAACGCTAACAAAATTGCATTTTTTCCTTTTTTTTTGTAATGAAAATTATGGATTCACTTACAATCAAATCTTATTACCTTAGCGAGTCGGAATATTAGTCGAACTACTTATACAAGTTGTAGTATTGCTTGCAAGCTCTACGAAAAAAACTGTATGCGGCATTGTTTCAATTTGCTATCATTTTGAAGAAAATCCTGGGCCAAGCAAGAGAAGAGATCATACTTAGGCCTTTTTCAATTTGTAGACGAAAGCAACAGACAAAGCATTATATCTTATTTGATGGGCTTATAAATTGTGCTCAAACCGAGCAAGACGTCGAACTGCAATGCAAGCAATGAAAACGAAACCTAAACAACTAAACGTTTCGGCATCGATTACCCTCGTGTAGATCCGTCTGAGTGTCCGAGTAGACAGAGTCTCGATTAACAATTCAATGGTCGTGCGTTCGAATCTCAAATGCGGCAGAGTTTTTAATTAAGCCGATAGCCTCAGCCTCAGATGCTAATGCTTTAAGACTTTAGTCTTAGAATTTATTCTCTGGCTAAATTTATTATAATTATAGTAATAATAATAATACCCCCGTGTAACAAGGTTTGTTTTTAACCCTTACATCAACTTGTCGCATTTCGTCAAGTCGTTGGAGTCATTCGATCCATTTCGGGCCATTAATGCATAAGCCTGGCATCATTCACTGCTATCTGGCCTGATAAACAATCAGTTCATCAATAAAAATAAGACCAGCGACGTAAAATTTAACAAATGACAACAGCAATGTAAACAAGTTTAAGATTCAAGCTAAAAAAGACAATTGTTGTTGCTGTGAGGAAAAGAATCGCAATTCTTTTTAAGTTTTCTTTTCTTGTCCCAATAAGAGTTTTCCGTGAAAATACGTAATACATACAAGTTATTAAAACTTTTTTTACGCTTTTGTAAAACTTTTATATTGCAACCGGATACGAAACCTTCAAAAACTTCCATAAACAATCCTTACAAGACACTTCTGAGGTCTCGATGTTTAATCTAACATTTAAACTTTATGTGAACGAACACGTCTATGCGCTTTCGTCACATCATTCACCACACAAACACGCACACACACACACACAGAGGGATGGAAAAAAAAGATACAAACAAACAAAATCAATATAAACTCGTGAAAATAGTCAAGTTGTAAATGACAACAACAAAAACAAGATAAGCAAAAATGAAGAAGAAAAGTAACACAAATCATTAGAACGAATTAAATAAAAAACATTAAGGCACAAAATACAAAGAGAAAAATAATTTAGTGATCAAAACATAAGGTGCGCACAAATGCACATACATATATATTTTGATTCATAATAAATGTGACACCATCTTAGCTAACTATTATACATATGTTATGTTTTCAAATTTTAATGAAGGCTATTTTCAATATTGTACAGGGCCAGTTTTGAGCTGTTTTTTTAAGACGATAGCTCACATCACAATCGAAGGGAAGAGGTGCCCCTCCTTAAGGTATGAGTCACGAAAAAACTATCATAAAATCGAGTACATCCTCCCAGAATCCCTAGCAATGCCATATAATAATTTTTCGGTGTGGAGTAGGAGGGGTTGGGGGCATTACGTCCTTAGTAAGCTCTATAAATACATTTTTATTTCATTTTTTTTTTTTGATAACGTTTTTTGTTATACATCCTAATTTATCATCTCAGCTAAGCCTTTTACTTTTATATGTGTGCGTGCAAACCTTGGTGGTCTTTAAAAAAAAGAAAATTTAAACTATTTTTTTTATTTCATTGAAAAATAATAATCTTTTTATCAGTGCTTACCCAACATAAGGCTCTTATCACAACTTGTGGTTTCATGGCAAATGCTAAAGGATCGAAGGCGCCGCCTGCCTTCCCACCCCCGTAAGCGCCGCCAGCATTCATATTAAGTATTTGGCTTAACATATCCATAGTGTTTCTGTCTGTTTTTTTTGTTTGTTTTGTTTCCTTTTGCTTATTTTAATGAATCAAATCAAATATTGATTATTGATTGTTATTTTGCTACTCTTCTGCTTCTTCTTTCTCCTCTGCTTTGGCCTTGATTTTATTTATGAGAAAGACTTACAAACAATATTTCAATTTATTTCAAGAAAATTTACTTTTTTTTTTATAATAATAATCATAATAATAATAATAATTCATTCATTTAAACATTTCTTTTAAAATTATTATTTTAATACTCATAGTTAGTTATAGATATTTTTTTTAAGGATATTTAATATATTTTCAAATTTTCTTTACTCATTGCTATATTTGCAACATTTGTGAACGCTCTCATTCGTTATTTTCTCTTTTTTTCGACTCATTACAATTTTTTAGTATGCATGTATACTACGTATATATGTATATATGTATATACGTATAGCAGCTCAATGCAATGTAAACTTTGTTTTTTCATTGAAATTTAAGTTAATTGCTTTGTAAAGCATTGCTTTGTGAACGTTGTACGGGTCTTTATAACGTAACGCGTTCAGTTTAATGAAAAGTTATTTATTGTATTCTCTTCTATTTTTTTTTTTAATTTTCTTAAATACTTTTTATGTTTTTCTTTTTTTTTCTAATTACTGTAATCCATTTTAACGCATAGTACTTGCTTTAGCACACAGCAGAAAAATCAAACTAAAATTGTTAGCAAATTTCTACGAAACATTTACATCTGTATAAGTGTGTGCAAGCGCACGTTTCGAGCTTTACTCGTAGGACAATATATATAGAGAGCTTTTCGAAACAACTTTCTATTTAGCATTTACTATTTATGACCTAACCTGCTCTTCCATAAGAAGAAGTTGTAAAAAATAAAAGAAAATTTTCTTCTTTTCACTGATAACGACAAGTTTAACTTATCAACCGCTTTCAATTGTTTCGAAAAAAGCGATTAATTTTTTTCTTCCAATTAAAACTTTCTTTTCGCAGAAACAAATACAACTCAAGCAAAGTATTGTTGGCGGAAAATACAGCGAAATAAGGTATTTTCCTGGAAAATGCTGATCGCATGCTCTCTGCCATGGTGCCGAGAAAAGAAGCGACCTTTCGGCGATTGGCAAGAATATAACGCCAACGAAAAACATCTTGCTTACAACATTTATCTAAAAGGGGGGTATTATGGACTCAACAGGAACAATTAGTTTCGTCAAAACTGTTGATATGATTCAGTTTATCTATTATCCTTCCAAATCGGTTTATGCGGAAACCTTTTGAAAATGAAGTACAATTCTTAGCAAAGGGAATTTGATTTACGTTAAGAAAACAGGTAAACCAAACATTAATAAAATTTAATAACCTTGAATTAAACTGCCGAAAGTAGTAAATCTTTCCAATTTTTATTAGAACGAAATCAAAAATAACAAATTAAAACAAGAATTTTAATGTGTAAGCGACTAAAGTGAGTTTATTTCATTTTGACACCTTTCTTGACGAACTAATCCTTTGAAGCTTCTGTATTCTCTTTCGAAGCAGACAAATAAGTATTCTTTAGTCCTTCGAATCTTTGAATATAGGCTCTCATGTTACCCAATACGAGTGAAAAATCCGTTCAAAATTTGTAGGTTTATATGAATACATCACATATTCGCTTTGATTTTAATGTATATAATTTGTCAAGAGATCGGCATGATATTTATATATTTTTTCCAGACATTTTGATTGACATTGTTTGTTGTCTGCATATTTGTGCATTCATTATTTCTGTATTTTTCTTTTTTAATTTTCTGCCTCTTCTTTTTGCTTGTTTTGCACGAACGAATCTTAATAGTTTCTGTTCAATTTGGTCTCCGAAGAGATCGTTTTCTAATGGCAGCAGGGCTTCTTAAATTTTCCTTCTGCTTTGTAAATAGTTTTACTTTTCTCCTTCCATGTTCCTTTATGAAAGGACCATTTCAGTTTTGTCAATTTTTTTGAAGATTATTTCCTAAATATTTCACAGCATGTTTTTTTGAAGAAAATTGATTAAATTGAGATTTTTTGTAATGTTTTATATCGTTTTATTTTTAAAAAGATCCCACTACGTTTGAATACTTTGAAAGTTTACTTTTTTATTATTAACGGAACGCTACAAGATTTAACATACGTTTATCATACGTGTCTTATTTTGTACGGTGCCCTTTATTGTCTAAGTTCGGGGATGCTTTACTTTTATATGTATTAGGGAAAATTTGTCAGTACTCTTAATCAATTAGAAGCTGGCAACCCTTAATCCCTTCTCATTATAAGAATATTTTTAAAAATGGAAAGTATAGCTTGTTTTGTTCCAATTTCTATACATATATTTTGGTATTGCATTTGTTAAAATCAGCACGAATCGAAAATAGATTATTGGATTATGCTTGAATTTCTCTTTTAATTTCCGTTATTTTTTTACTGCACGAAGCCATCTCTCGTTAAGATATACTTCTAAGCGCACAAAAATTTTCTTCAGGAGCAGCAAAAGTTTTGTGTTGGCTGCTGAAAATGCGATGCCTATTTAGCAGACGTGCATTGAGCATCAATTTAGAAATTTGCAATATGCTCTCCACTAGCGTTACGGTTTTTCCTGTGCCGGGGGGTCCGAAAATCACGTATGGCATGTTGTGAACTTCTCTTCGTAGTATATTTGCTACGGCTTTTTTCTGTATAGAATTCAGTATGCAATTGTGCCATTTACACTGCCAACTGTCTAACAAGAGGTATTCCTCATCATTTAATTGTATATCTTGTCTTACAGCTTCAGCTTGTTTCTCATTTTCGCAAACAACAATGTTAACGGAGCGTTTAACGCGAAAATCTTCAAATTTTATAACAAATTGTTCATAAAAGTCACCATACGCTTGAGGCTCAACCTCAAATCTCAGAACACGCTTCTCGTTAGGTCCAAGATCAAAGATGTACCTTAGCTAACATTACGTATGAAATCTCCCATGCGACGGTTTATCACTCTAATCGACACATTCTGCGATAACCATAAACGTGTCGTTATTTCGGCTGATGTACCATTAGATAAACTATTTAACCGTTAGATAAACTATTTATGGGCTTTACAATACATTTTGTCTCCTTCTCTTCCTCGGGAGTATCGCCGTCTGATTGAGGCAAAAATGCACCCCTGCATCGACATCTAATATGGTAATGGGTTTCTCCTTAGACAGAATGGGACAAATGTGCACAGCTACTTGCACAGCTATTTCCATTGTGAAGAGATCTAATTCTAATTAAGGAGGAACAAAAATATTGCCATTTTCAAGAATAGCAAAAGAATTTATTTTTTAAATAGATTTTATCGCAAGCATTTTCACAAAAGAAATATTATCAGAATTTTTCAATTTTCTACGATTTCCAATTAGTTATATTGCTGCTGAAATTAATACACTATTATTGCAAGAGATGTAAATCAAAGTAGCAAAAATAGGGAAAGTGATTTCTGTACTACAATCGCCGTTTTCTGTTTAATTTTATCAAATTTGGTTGCGCCTGCAATTGGCAAGAAATTGAAAAATCTATTTCATTTTCTGTGATATAATAAAAAGTAGTAATTTAGGTGCACCATAGATTCATATTTTATTATGACAGATTTGTATTTGGCAGATGATCAACGCATACTAACGGATGATTTAAAAATCTCATTGGGCTCGGTAACTAATATACCTTTCAAAAGAGTTGTTTTAATTTTTCTTATATTTAATTTAATATTATAGAAAGATGCCGGCGCAAGCGTTTTCACTGGCGAAGAAGTGTTATTTGCTTTCAATCGTACCATTTGTCGTCTTAATGAAATGCAAAGCAAGGTCTATTGGAAAAATGGGCAAAGTCCCATTGAGACAAGCGCAACATGTTTATCTGTGTTCAAATTCTAGCGAAAATTTTTCGATAAAGTACTTAACAAAAAAAAAAAAAAAAAAAGAAACGAAAATGCAAATTCTTTTTATTAAATGAATATCTTTTCTTATTGAAATCGCCAAATTTATAAGAAGCAATTGTATGTAGCAGAGTCGCTCATTTAATTACTCTCATAAGTCGCCAAATTTGTAAGAAGCAATTGTAATGCAACAAGTGTCTGAGAATAATAATAAATAGAGAAAATAATAAAAAAAGCATGAATGAATTTGATGCCAATTGAAGTTTGAATTTGTTGACTCTGAATCCGGTAACAATTGAGAATATTTCACAAATCTGCATATTTTTAAGTGTACCACGTTTTTCACTTTAAATGTTCTCTTTTTGCTGATTTAGGTTTGGACGCCCGCAACCAGATTCGTAACCAGATCGTGTACTCTTTCTGATTATCTTTCACACCAATATATCCTTTCGATGATTCAATCCAACCACATCTTAACGCACGCTGACGATGTTCAACTATTTTCTTCTTTTGACTTGGAAGCGCACTTATATCTTTTTCAATTTGTATGTGCTTTAAATTTAATGAAATTAAAGTTAATAAAATGTAGGAAACTTTCTTTTTCAAGGAGGGCTATATTTTCCAATTACTTTATTTATTCGCAAGCATTTGAAAATCAAGATTCGTTCATGGACTTAGGGGTTTTATTCAACCATAGTCTAAATTTTAAGTTTCACATTGATCTCTCATGCGAAGTGTGGTCAGATTTTATTTTCACCATTATTGGTATTTATGGACGGCAACTCTGTGATCATCCATACTCCACGGATGGTGAATTTTTAATAAAGCACACAAAGGATTTTGTATAAAACTAGCCAAAGGTTTTAAATTTCAATTTAATCAATCAATTTGCCAAGCTCGCAAAGCACACACAAAATTTTACGAAATTAAAAAAAAAAAAATTAAACAAAAATAAAGAAATTAAAAAAAAATTGAAGAAAATTTAATTTCCCAGTATTTACATTAAATACAGCTTTTTTTAAAAAAAAAGAAATACTTTAAACTTTGAGTGAATGAAAACATTTCAATAAAAATATAGTGTAAAATTTGTTCAGTGAATTAAAACATTTCAATAAATTCATGGTGTAACAGTTTAATAAATAGTTCAATAAATTCAGTGTAGTGTTTA